AGCTAAATTAACAGGATTGAGAGAATACTGCTCCACTGGAAAATTCAGCTGGATAGAGACGTCAAACCTTAGGCTGAACTCCACCCCAACCCTCAAGATGAGAACAGGAATAGAAAAAGGCTAAGAAATGGAAAAAAAAAAAAGAAAAACGACAGTTACCTTTGTAATACAGATAGTGAAATGCAAATTCAACTAAACACTTTTTAGGTTGACGTGATCATTTCGTGATTTGTTCCAAAATCACAGTATTTTGGTAGAGAATAAAACACAAACAGCGGTGATAAACATTGCGAACTTTCGCATGTTTATACAAACTTGACGTTTCGTTCGCCAGTCAACATACATTTTCAAGTGATCAAAAGTGACTCAGAGTGATTAGTGCGCCGGTTAGCACACGATATAAGATCAATTAATTACATCACTTGAGTACAATACTTTTAAGAGGCTTCACCAAAGAGCAGTGTGCAACAAGTAGTTAAGAAGCATTTCAGAAGCAGACACTCACTATTCCAATTCTCCAGTCACGTTTTATTGGCGTTACATGTACGTCCTTCAACTCATTTCTGTCGTAACTCTTGTGAAATATGGTAAGTTTTTTACTTCCGATCTTAAGGCCACAGAAGACTCCTATTTCCATGTTGCCATGGCTACGATGTAACCAAACCATTCCCTCTCCCTTTATATCGATTCCGATTACTTTCTTCTCCTAACACATCTAAGTAAAATTTTGAAAGATGATTTTGAGTACTTGACAGTTTAAGTACTGTTTTAAATTGCTGAAATATTCCGTAAAAGTCTTGTAGGTAAGAAATGCTGTTAGTTTTTTTTTGTTTTAGTCAGACAGCAGTGCAAATATTAATTGACGCCAGTTTTTTATCCACAACAAACTTTAACAATGTTATGGTGCGGGGCTGTCAACTATTAAATATTAACTGTCAAATATTGAGAATTGATAGGGAAGGGATGATAGATGATGTCATATTGCACAGTGTATGATGTCATTTGTGCAAAAAATACTTGTGGCATAATATATCATACCGAAGTTTTGAGGAAACGTTCGATGTTAACAGTAAAATTGCTCAAACAATGCGAAATATTTAAAAGTTTATTGTTGGAAAGTCGAGTCTACAACTAAACTCCAAACTTTGGAGAATATCCGGGCGATTTCATACTCTAATCTGGAAACCAGGAGATACAGTCCAAAATCTGGAGTCTCCCAGATTATCCAGGAGAGTTGACATCACTGTGGTGTCATTTTATCATCAATATATATTTATCACCAGACACATGAAAAACTGGTGTCATTTTGTTTTTTACAATAACAAAAGCTCCAAAAAGACAAATTGCTAGTAAAAATGAAGAAAACTAAAAAACAATTATGACTTTTTTAACCACCGCAATGTTATTGTCAATAATGTTTCTCGCTTGGTGGTTGGCTACTGAAGACAAGTAACGGAGGTTCATTGGCTAAATATTTGACAGGTTAAGTCATGCCACTGCTTTGCATAAATTAGGAATTTATTGTCTCGAAAAATGGAGGCATTTTGGGGTAGTAGAAAGTTGTAAATTAGTCCAAGGTTACAAACTATTCATTCGGCAAATGACCATGTCTTGCATAAATTTAAATTTTATGTGTCTGCATTCTTATTGATCATTTTGAAATAAGCCAATCAGTGCTTGAGAAATAATTCAGTTATTATAAAATATTTATTTGACACTTTCTATATTATCTGAATTATTACAGTGTCCATAGTTAGACAGTGAAATAAAGTGCACAAAATGCTGGTTTGCAAATAAGCTTGTCCCTCCACTGGGACTTTTTGATGCAAATTTTGCAACAAGAAATTGTATTGTTTGTATTATTATTGGGCCCTCCACAAACACATTTGCATTTCTCCATCAGTTTTCATAATTTGATAGGCTTTCAAAATTTAATTCTTTTGTAATTTTTTTTTGCGGTTTTGTAAAGGGCCTTAAACCACTATAAACCATAAGTATGTCTCTGTTGATTTTCGTTGATGTCTTTGCAAAATTTTGTGATTCTCACCATTTGAGATTTTTTGTAATTTTTTCAATTTCAACACTTTCCTCAAGCATCTTCCAAGAAGTTATTTGTAGTTCTCCATCGATTTTTGCTGGTGGGCCTCGTGAATTTTTTTAATTCTCATAAATGTTGTGAATTTTTTAAGACTTAAGCAAAATTTTGTGATTTTGGATACTTTCCAACAGCATTCCACCAATTATATAGAGGATATTACATGGTGGCATGAAGATATGAATTTTATTTTCAAGTGGCAAAACAAAATTTTATGAACAAGTGCAGCGAGTGAGTAAAATATTGTTTTTGCCACAAGAAAAATAAAATTCATATCTTCATGCCACTGTGTAATGTTCTTTTTATTATATAGACAAAAAGGTATAGATAAAATAATAGATTTTTATTCACCAAAAAGTAATTGTGACAGCTGAAAGTTACAGCACAGCAATAGGCATTGTTTACTATAATCTTGAGAAATAATACTGAGCTGAATAGGACTCTACAATGACAAAATATAAGCAAAGCTTTGAAAAATGTATAAGTAAAATTTTAAAAATGATATGTAATTACCGAAATTATGTCATCGCTAAACTCATGTGTGAGATAAAAATAAACCACTCAGGTTCCAGATGTAGTTTTTATGAATTTTACGAGTGGTATATTTTCCAGTAAAACACTTGTGTCTTATAATAAAGACATATCTCCCACACGGTTGATTAATAATAGGAGGTATAAAACAATCTATTAAACTGATTGGATTCAGCCATAGGCGTACGGGCAATTTTCGGCCAGGGGGGGGCGGTAAACCATTTGCCCAAAAAATTCTTGCAAGTTGCCCAAATTTTTACAAAACAGTCGAGAAGAAACAAGAGCCATACGATGCAACAACATAGGCCGTGCTGGTATAAGAAAGTGCCGCAATACAGTTTTTCAGGGTCAATTTATACCTGCCAAGTTTGAGCATAAACTATACGTTGCCCTGAACAAACATTTCGAAAAACTGCCACCACAGTTGTATTAGATAAAGATGAAAATTTGTCATGATCAGGGTTGCAATGACATCGGAGTTGTCATAGCAACGAAATGACGCCATTAGCTATTATACTTGCAACATTATTTCTCACTGTGAAATCGTTCTTGGGAGCTTTTTCCTCCAATAGTCGCCTCGTTGTTCGTGACGTCAAAACGGAATCTGTAAGAGCGTTATCGGGATAGTCTGGGATAAAGTTTTTATCGTTAGAAATACAGTAAAACAAGGAAAATCTTGATGTTTAGCCGCTATCTGTAGAAAACGGAGCGCTTTTGACATGCAATTTCACCTCATAGTAGGTTCAATCTTTTTAAAAATGTATGTGAGTTATTTGTATAGGTAATAACATGATTTGTAGTGATATTTGGCTAAATATCACGAGTGATATTTCAAAATTGCTACAAAGAAGGATTTGATTAGTATGTATCATGGCGCTCTTGTTAGCGGTTTTGTAAACATTTCGGTCTACTTTAACAAATTAGTGAATAATTTGAACCACTTGATAGATTTTTTTAAAAACATTAGGATTCTTCTCGTAATTAAAAGTGAGAATTAGTCAGCCACTTCTTCACTTTCAAATCAATCGCTGATGCTATCTGTCATACACTGTTCTACGAGCGAAGATGATCCTAGAAAGTTAGGCGGAAGTTTATTCTAATCAATTCCCGATTGGAAATAGCCCATTGCAGCACAGTGCCCAACGATAAAAGAAAACCCTTCCCTTATAAACAGAAACTCATCACGTGCTTGACAACCACTGTCTCGTGTGAATGTAACTTATTAACTTACTTATTATTACGCCCACTTCAGGTTAAAATAAAAAATATTTATCTCTTCAAAATACTAATAAAAAAAACATGAAACTTCTTTAAAAGCTGGCTATGCCCAAATTTTCTCTTCCTGCCCAAAAAATCTGAGTTGCCCAAAATTTGGGGGGGCTGCGGCCCCCCTCGCCCCCCCGGCCCGTACGCCTATGGATTCAGCAATATTCATCTATTGTAGGCAACCTCGATAGAAACCAATTTGCGGTAGCTGGTAAATCGACCGAGCCGGCCCTGGTCTGTCTTTTACACCTGGCTTTAGAAGCCCTGGACAGGGGCGGTTGCTATCTAAGGTTATTTTTTGCTAATTTTAAAAAAGGTTTTGACCTTATTGATCACCTTATATTAATGGAGAACCTTTCTACACAGTACAATCTCCACTGGAGCTTGCTTAGGTGGGTCGCATCCTTTTTGCAAGGGAGGGCTCAGGTCACACGTGTTAGCGCCTCGCGGTTTTTGCTCCTTTATGTCTAAATGGAGGCATTCCTCAGGGTACAAATTTGGGTCCTGTGTTATTTGCGTTATGGTCAATGACCTTGTTCAAAGTTGGGGCGCCCGCATTAAATTCGTGGATGATCTGACGGCTTGGGGAAACTCGCAAAATTAAGTGAGAATATATAAGGTGAGAATTCCATGACACAGTGCTAACGTTGCTGGTGAACAAATGTGCAACAAACTACTTCCTTGAGTGTCTAT